GTGGCTCCTTCCCTCCAGCTGCCACACCAGAGGCCAGGCCCTGTGAGAAGGGGGTGTGGGGGTGCTGGGTCTCCAGCCAGAGGCTAGCCAGATCCTCCTGGTGTAAGGAAACGCCAGCGGCCGTGGGACAGGGAAAAGCAGCCCCCTCCAGGTGTGCTTGGCTAAGGAAGTTTCCTGCTCCTTGCTTCCAGGCCCTGTATGATCACTTAATGGATTTCCTGGCTGACCGAGGAGTGGACAACACGTTTGCTGATGAGTTAATCGAGCTCAGCACCGCACTGGAGCACCAGGAGTACATCAAATTCCTTGAAGACCTTAAAAGCTTTGTCAAGTGTCAGTAGGTTAGACTAGGCAACTTAACCTTCGGGTGTGGGTATCCCCCAGCACTGCTCAGCCAGCAGCACCCAAATAAATCTTCACAACTGATATGAAGAGTAAGTCACTTGGAATTAGGGAAGGAGCGTTGTGGGAGAATGAGGATTTTTGCTTGTGTCTGGGGATCTGTATTTATGTTGCAGCCCAGATCAAGTTCTCTAACACGGTCCGGAACTGCCTCGCCCTACCTGCTGGTTTTTGTACAACTAAGAATGAATGTGAAGAATAAAATCTGTTCAATGTATCACTGAAAACTGGTGGTTTCTCCTCTTCCTGCTGTACCACTGCTGACCAGTGAGCTACCATAAAAACAATGCAAAGGTTCTGTGCCTGTGCCGGTGTTACTACAGCTGCCTGCTCCGATGGCGTGTGCTGGCCTGGAGCTGTCTCCAGGGAGAGCGATTCCAGCACCCCCAGCCACGCAGCGTGGCCTTGGAGTCATGTTTGGAGGAGGAAGCTTGCTGTGCTCATTATGAATGTGGGTCTCATTCCAGAAATCTTGGCTGGCTATGCTTTAGGGAACGGAATTGTATCTTAAATGTGTTTTTTGAGGAGCTGTTTTAAAATTATATTAGTATTAATGGATCTGTTAGAAAAATACCACAGCGAGGCTGATTTTAAATTCCAGCGGAATGACTGAAGGGCTGTGGATGCTCATGGATCTCCAACGTGAGATCACGTTAAAGATCATTGAGATCATTGTTAAAGAGGACACAAAGGCTCAGATAAACTAAGTGTATTTATTTACTGTGCCGTTAAAAGTGCAGGTCAAGGCAATACTGCCCTGTAAGTGTAACTTGACACAACAGTTACAAGTATGTACATAACAACGCTAGCAGCTCTAGGTAGATTTTTAGTCTTGAAGTCCTTCCAGTAGAAAAGCAGCCACTGAATCAGCTTATAGGAGAATCATCCAGGAGTCACAGGCCTTTAAAAAAGGGAAGTTGAACAGAGAAGCTGTGGCACCGTGTAAGGGGAGTTATTAGTGTTCAGAACCATTTGAAACGCTCTGCTCCTACCAGGGTGCTCGCTGCGGGCACACACGGAGGTTTTACGTAGGCCGCAAACCCAAGCACATGCTAGCTCTCGCCTGAGCCAAAGGGCGGGGGTTGTTTTTTTAGGAGGTGAGCCATTTGAGGAGGCTTAAACGGAAGTAATTTTTAAAACTTTTCTTCATGAACCACTTCTCTAACACCTGCTGCACACAACACTTGGAAGTTGTTGGCTGAGGTGTGAGAAGGGTACGGCACTAAATTTGACAGGTCCTTGAAGGATTCCCTAATCCAGCAGTTAAGGTAAATCGTGTAGTTTGGCTCTTCCTTTTACAGTTACTGATGGTCAAAAGTAAAATTCCATTTCCAAGGAAGTTTGTCGGAAAACAGCACCACAAACCCCTGGGCTCAGTGGATGTGTGCTAATTGGGAAGTGGATCCACACAGAGATCCTTTCCAGGAGCTTGGCGTTTAGACTCACCGGACAGCTCATGAGAAGACTGGCTTCCTCCTCCATTCCACTGGTCACTGTGAACTCCGGGCTCTGAGAGCACCTGTGACTGTGCTCGGTCACAGTCTGTTCTAGAAGTGACCGCAGCTTCTCCTCTGTCATACCCTGAGAAGAGTCAGGTTAAAAGCAATCTTCACTTGCTGTCTGGAGCTTCAAACCGCCTCTTCACAGGGCACTTGGGCAGCCAGAGCTAACACAGCTTACCTCTGTGCCGATGCACAGTCCACACTGGCAAAACACGAAGTGATTCCTCACAGTCAGGTTATTCCTAGGAAGAGCATACCATGAGCATCATTGCAACAACCACAACAAAGGCAGATTTTAGAAAAAAAACCCCTTAGATTTAGGAGATCATCGCTCAGCTTTTTGTTTTGTTGAAATAACAGTAATAGCAGCCTCTGTTTGCCCATGACTTCTGCCCGCTTCTAAGCCCAAATGGCTGTGGGAGAGCGGAGAACCTCATTCCGGCGCCAAGGGCTGCCTTACTTTCTACACGCTGGGCAGATGATCTTGTCGCTGGCGTCCAGGCCATCAAGCATCGCGTTGAGACATTCTTCGTCAAACTGCTGACTTCGCTCGTACTCTTCTATAACCGACTGTTCTGCAATAACAGAGCAAAGTACCGGGCTGTCAGCATCGTAACGACACGTGAGGCTGCTGGGCAGACGGGGGCTGGGGCAGCCACCAGTGCCTGACCCTTCCTTTCTTTGTATCACATTTGTACACCTGAGGCAATCATTCCTCTTAATCCAGTTTTTCCTACGGCTCAATCTTTAGCTGGTCCCAAGCGGGTGACTTTCCACTTCCTAACCAACAATTTAGAAACATTCTGAATTGACTTATACAGGTTCCTACAGCTCCCAAACACCTCAGTGCTGCTCCTCTGGTCTCTCATCAGCTTCTCAGAGACCTTAAAATGCCACTTTTAGACTCTTAAAAAAGGGGTCTCAATGTATTAGACAGGCTACAGGGATTTCTGAGGAGGTTCTTCCATATCACATGGAAGTGCAGCCTCAGCTAGTCTGGATTACTACAAAATCAGGGATATTCCAACTCAAATAGGAGTCAAGTAACATGTGAAGAAATTACCTTGCAATATCAGTTCCTGTTGTATCTCTTCCAGCACTGCTAGCTCATCGGGGTCCTCTAGCATCTGAAAGGTGGTCAGTCAGTATTGCCCCCTCCTGGCTACTTCCTCATTCAGCTTCCAGCACCCGACTGAGCTGTCACTGTCACGGAAGTTCACTCTGCTTATTCCTCTAGCTGGTAAGTCACCAAACCACGCCCTGGGGAAGCAGCCTACACAAAGCCAGACTCAAGAGATCAGGACAGCCTGCGCACGAGCTTGCTTTATAAAGCATTAGTTTCATTCCTGTCCTCAGGTGGTTGTTGACAGACCAGCTCTGAAACACACGGATGAGCCGCCCTACCCTCTGCTGTGACTCACACCCAGTCTGTGAAGGAAATAAAGAAGTTCCCCACTCCGTGCCCAAAGGCAAGCGCTTTCACAGCACAACACCCCGCATCAGCTGCGGAAGCAGGAAACCCAGCCACGCTGAGTTTTGCCAACTCCAACCAGCGACAGACCGAAGTTCCAGCTGCAGAGAGCAGCTGTAGTCGATACACATGCACTAGCCAAGCAGCACGGTGACGGTGGGGGCTGCATCACCCCAAGAGCTTGTACTGACCTGGGCCAGGGCCTCCTTCCCCCTGAGGGCCGG